GGTATTGCTAGACATTAGCAATGAACTATCTGAAAATAAAATTAAAAACGATCCCATTAGCTCCCACTTGTTGCTGGTGGGAATGCAAAATGGCACAGCCGCCTTGGAGACAGTTTGGCAGTTTCTGACCAAGCCAACCGTACTCTAACCATTTAACCTGAAAAATGGGCTGCTTGTCCTTTACCCAGAGGAGTGAAAAACTTCTGTCTACACCAAAACCTGCACATGGATGTTTATAGCAGCTTTATTCCTAATTGCCAAAACTTGCAAGCAACTGAGACGTCCTTCAGTGGGTGAGTGGGTAAATAGCCTGTGGCACCTCCAGACAATGTAAGGTTTCCCCTCTCCGCACCCCCGCGGCCAAGCCTGGCCCTACCCCTGCTGCTGCCTGCCCCACCCTTTCCAACGCAGCCCGGGCTGCGTCTCCCATGACCTGCCCAAACCGGCCGGCAGATGGTGTCTCCCATGACCTGCCCAAACCGGCCGGCAGATGGTGTCACCCCCGCCTCCTCATCAGCGTGGCCCCCTCAGCAGTCACAGTGCCTCACAGACTCCCCTCTGATGTCAGCTTTCACTCCCTCTGTGCGCTCAGCCTCCCAGCTGAGCAGAGTCTCTCATGCCCCAAGGCGCCTCTAATGCCCAGTGGGCAGGCTCAGCACACACCCCAGGGAGCAGGCAACCCACTCTCCCGCTGACCCTGGATGAGCGGGAGGGAGCCCACAGAAAAATGTCGGGTCGGCCAGAGGCCTCCGGGAGTGCACGGGGCAGGCGGGGGCAGCAGTCTGGGCCCAGGGCCTCTAGTTTTGGGCCTTGGTCTCCCTCTAAACACAGGGGGCGGAGGCTTCGTGCCCCCTCAGCCCCAGGAGGAGCGAGTCGCCTCTCAGTTGGGGGGCCTCATTTCTTCCCCCCCACCCCAGGCCCCCCGCCAAGGCCGAAGCCCTCCTCGAGCTGTGGCAATGGCAGCAAACAGCATACAGATGGGACATGCTCAGAGCTGGGCAGCAGGGGTGGCTCCAGATGCAGGGGAAAAAGAGGAAAATGTCCCAGCCACCGGTCCTGCAGGTGCGCTGTTCTGGAAGGCCCTTGGCACAGTGTTCCTGGGCCCCGCACACCCCTGCCCCTTGACAGCTCATGCCCACCCAGGCCTCGCCCGCTTCCGGCTCCCATCCGTGCTCCGGGGTTCTCCTCCCAGTCAGTGACCTCATCTTGGTTCAGCGTTGGAGGAAGCCAGGCTAAGAACGCTCTGCCCTTACCCGTTACAACCTTCTCTGAAGCACATCTTTCTCCAGCTACACAGAGCTACCTACAGCCCTCGTCCCACCTGCTCATTCATTCATCCATCCATCACATTTATTGAGCACCTACTGCACCACAGGCACCCTTGTCGGTGCCGGGGGTACATTTATGAAGAAAAGAGGCAAACTCCTCACCCTCGCCTGGCTTACATTCTAGGGAGGAGAGGCAATGGGAGAGCAAACTGGGTTGCGTGTTAGACGGTGATAATTCTGCAGAGAAAAATAAAGGCGGGAGAGCGATGGGCAGGGTTGGCAGGTCAGGCCCTCTGGAAGCACAGGCCGGGGCAGAGTTTGGGGGTGAGGCCCATGAAAGGAGTGGGGGAGGAAGAAGGATGGGGCAGGGGGAGAACTTGAACCGTGCTGCAGGTCCAGTGAAGCCCTGGTGGGGAGTTCCAGAGCAGGTGCGGCTGTCGGAGTGTCCAGCCCAAGGCAGAAGCCACCAGGCCCTCCGGCCCCTGCTTCACTGTTACCAGATGCCCTGGGGAGTTTGACCTCAGGGGAGGCTCTAGGCAGCTGGGGGGTGGTGACCCTGGGGGAACTGAGAGCTGGAGCTTCTCTGGTGATTGCTCTTCCTATAGACCCTTCTGGAAATGGGATCTGGGTGGTGCAACTCTGTGTCTACCACATGGAACGGGCTCAGGGAAGGCCTCACGGAGCACAGACTTGGAGGAGTTCAAGGAGGTGAGTCCTGCAGACACGTGGAGGAGGAGTCGCACAGAGGGAATAGACGCGCAGAGTGTGGTTGCAGCTGAGGCCTGGAGAAGCAGCAAGGAGCCCAAAAGGGCTGAGCAAGAGCGAGCGGGAGAACGGCAGGGGCCAGATCTCTGAGGCCATGAGAGGACTCCAGCTTTTACCCTGGGCAGGAGGGGGCCTGTGGAGGGGTGAGGGCGGTGGCAGCATTCCTGAGGGAGGCACACTCGGACAGAAGAACCCATGGGGAGTCCGCTTCCAGAGGGAGGCGCTAAGGACTGTCAATTGAGGGATCCTGGCCAAATGCTCTCAGGCGAGTGTTTAACGAACACTAGGGGTGGATTAACTCGGCAGCTTTCGCTGGTGCCTGCTGCCCTCTGGTGGATATATGGGAGATTACCCAAACCTGCTTCTAGCTTTTCTTTTGCAAGGGCCTTTGGGTTCTGTGGATTCACCTCCAGTTTGGGGCTACTGTAAAACTCTCTTGTCACAGATGGCCGAGGTATCAAGCAGCACTTGGAGAAAAGTTAATCAAGTTAGAGACAGGAAGGCAAGGGGAAACTACGATGCGACAGCATTTGGAGTGGGACCACGTGAGGTTCGCAAGCAATAATGGCCACCAGCACCAGAAACAAAGAAGCGGGGCGAAGGGTGCGTTGGGGCTGGGAGGATGCATTAGAGACAGTGCTGTTCCCTGGAGGAGAACGAGGGGAAGACACAGGGTGCTTGCCAGCCAGCTCTGAGTTCCAGGGCACAGTTTCTGCTGGGGAGGGAAGGGAATGGAGCTGGGAAGGCCCAACTCGTGGAAAGAAAATGAGCAGGCAAAAGGCCTGTAGATGAAAACGAAGCTGGCCATCTGGTGGGGTGAGGGTGTGAGAAACCTGGACAAAGCGGGAAGGCTGGGGGCCCTGCCGCCCCTGGAGGCATTGCTGCTGCGTTTGGAGCCCAGGAGTCCACACTCTCGCTTCTGCGGCTGAAACCCCCGCCCGCACCACGGCAGCCCAGTCTGCTGCCCACGTATGCTGACGCTGCCGGAAGTAGAAACAGAGTGGTTTCTTCCTTCTTCCTGCCTTCCAGTCTACTGCCAGTGTATCCGTATCCGAAAATAGCGGAAAGCCCGCGGGAGAGCAGCCTGGCAGGCGTACTTTGTAGGCCTGCAGCCTCAAACCCCAGCTTCCTAACTGCCATGTAAAATCCCTTCTCCCTTTTGTTCCTCCAGTCCTTTCAAGCACCCTTTGACCCAATTTCCTGCATCAAGTCCTTCTCTGATTTTTCTGTATTTGCACAAGTCTGTTTTAGGTCTAAGGGAAAATTCAAGTATTTGGGGATTGAGGCTTATACATAGGGAGAGAGAAATTCTCTTTAAGGACAGTAATACATTATAAACAAAAAATTAGCTTTACCAGCTTCATGGAAAATTCATCTTTGCCTATAACCCCACAATTCCACTCCAGATACATACCCTAGAGAACCTCTTGCATATCTGTGCTGAAAGGCATGGCTGTGTATGCTGACAGAGATATCCTTTCTCTGTGATAAGATTAAAACTAACCCATCACCATTGATAGGAAAATGGATACATAGAGGAAAAGTAAATATTTTATATTAAAAAGATACATATCCTCCTCAATCTAAAGATTCAATACAATACCAATTAAATTTTAGCCAGGTTAAATGAAAGATGCTAGTTCCAAAACTGATCTGTATGCCTTAGTTCTCAGCAAACACAAAAATCAATTACAGATGAATTAAAGACTTATATTTGAAAAGGAAAATCTTACAACTTTTGGAGAAAATCTAGACTATCCATATGACCTTTGGGGTAGGGCTTTCTGAAAGAAGATTCAATGAGCTAACACAATAGATTTTTTAAATAGATTGTTAAATTTCGGTTCATCAAAAGATAATCCATAGACTTCCTTTTTCGAATCATAGTCATTATTTTACATTTAAAAAAATTGACTTAGAGAGAAAGAATCTGTGGCTGACTGGGCTAGAACAAAACTATGCATGGTCTAGTAGGTGTAAATGCCATGGCAAAAATAAAAGCAGGGAAAAAGAGTAAGAAATGTTGGGGAGGAAAGAAAGAGTAAATACTAAATAACAAAAAGGAAAAAAATGGAGGAGGAGAAGTCTGTGATTTAAATAAGGTGCTCAGGGAAGGCTTGGCTGATAAAGTGACATCTGAGCAAAGACCTGAAGAAAGTGAGGGACTTTTCCATCAGCTCAGGATCTGGGAAATAGAGCTTTCCAGAAAGGGGGAACAGTTAAGTACAAGGAGGGGCACACAGAGTGTGCTTCAATCACATTTTCTTTTTAATATTTTATTTATTTACTTATTTTTAGAGGGAGGGGAAGGAAGATAGCAAGAGAAACATCAATGTGCGGTTGCCTCTCGTGCACCCCCTGCTGCGGACCTGGCCCGCAAGCCCTGCGTGTGTCCTTACTGGGAATTGAATGGGGGACTCTGGCTCGCAGGCCGGCACTCAATCCACTTAGCCACACCACCCAAGGCAATCACATGTTCTTACCGAGCCTCCTTGACAACCTCTTTAATCCTGAAACCTACTCCTACCCCACTGAACTTTTCAACAAGTATTTCCATTTGTTTTCTGCTTTGTGTAAGGGCGGGCACCTGGGCCCCTCTCGCTCACCCATGCAGCCCAAGCTTCTAGCACTGTGGGACACACAGGATGAGCTCGAAGGGCACGTGTGGAGGGACGGACTGAACTGCTGCAAGGCAGGAAGCCGGAGGGAGGGAGGCTTAGGGAAAGACGAACAGATCCAACTACATGGGGCCTTGACAGGGCCCACCGCGAGGGCTCGAGCGCCGCAGGCCCACATAGTAGGAACCAAACTTGCTGCAGCCCTAGGGAGCACCTCGGCCAAACGCCCCGGAGAACAGCGGCCGGAAGCGCGTCATTGAGCGTGCGCCGGTAGCGGCCAGGTCGAGGCGTCCTCCTGATTGGTTGCGGCAGGCGCTCTGAAGCGACGTTGCGGGCGCGCGTTCCTCCATCCTCCCTGGTCCCCACGGTAGTTTTAGTTCCTTGTCTAGAACGCCAGTCCCCGGCGCTCGGAATGTTCCCAGAACTCAATAACCTTCTCAATACCACGCCTGACAAAGTGGAGCAGGTAATTAGTCGCGCGGGCGGATCCCAGGAGCGTGGCGGAAGAACACGTTTTCGAATGCAGTGAACGCGGGGCCGTAGGATAGACGATACGTCCATAGGCATGACTCTGCCTGGGAGTTAATAGTCCAGGGAGGGAAGACACGGGGGTGGGACTGGACACTAGGACCTGCGGAAGGGTGGTTTTCTGGACCTTCTCACGTCTTCTCAAAGCCCGAGTGTGCCCCTGAAAGTTCCTAGAAAGCATGCCCGAGGCATTGCAGGGCTACATTCACAACTGTGTACCCGGGAGCCCAGTGGATGCTCACCGCAATGGGGGGTCCCGGCTCCCAGAGAAGGTTGCCTGAGAGGAGAAGAGTTTGATTTTCCACCCTTCACAGGGGACCAGCTTCTTAACCGTTCTGAGTCTCCCTTTGACCGGGAGCACTCGGTGGGTCGCGGTGAACGCCGCTGCCCCTCAGACTCTTCCTTCTCATGGTGTCTAATAGTGCTCTTGCAAGCTGCTCTCAGCCAGCGTTGCGTCGTGCCAAGTCCACCTTTGGCACAACTCTGTTTTCTCCTCTTCTTCCCGCACTTTGCGCACCTCGAAATTTTTCTCATTTTAGCCCAGGGATTACCTCTCCCAGGAACATATCTGGTTTACTTCATAACCTTTGTCTTCCTAATGAAATGATAAGTTCCTCCAGGCAGCCAAGACATCATGTGTGTAAAGCCCTTTGATGACCCCATAGTGCCGGGCAAATTATATAGTTGCCCAGCAGTTCTTGCCTGCTCGAGCCTGCAGGTGGCGCTAGCTACCTTACCAATTACTACCTGCACCACTGACATTCTCCACCCAGCGCCAGAGTGAGAGAATGGAGAATCAAAGTGGGCGCCGGGAAATGACAGCGGGGGGAGTAACCCTCAAAGTCTGATAGTGTGATCTTTTATGGTTTACCAGTGGAAAAAAAATCACAGCAGTGCAGAATGCCACTTGATCTTGACATTCCCTTTCACTGGCAGGGAGCTAGAGGTGGCTGGGTCAGGGCAGCCAGGCATTGCAGAGACCACCTTTAGAGGTTGCTCCAGGGATCTCTATGATCAGAGCTCTGCCTGAAGGGCCATTTGGAGGAGAGCGTTGTTACTGGAGGTCTCTGTCAGGACCACTTCTTCCCTCTGTCCTATAGGACAGAATTGACATTGGAATTAGAAATAGGAAGGTGGATCAGATGACTTTTTTGAAGGTCCCTTCCAATCTTGGCAGGCAATGATTTGCGTTGGATTCTGATGATAAAAGCTTCCTTTGTTCTGTATCTCATTCTCCCTAAGACAGGTCCCTGAGTTACTAGGTGAGGAGGCGGGGAAGAGAACGGACTTTGCTCCCTGTCTTTGGGGAGGTGGAAGCTGAGATATGTTTGCCAATAATGAACGACTTAATACTCATCAGTTTAATTGTTGGATTTTCCATTATTGTGATGACTTTTTTTAGTAGTCTTAAGTGTATTTGTGTACATATGTATTATATACCTGTATGTGCACATATTTATGTAAATACACATATACATACATATGTACTCTTAAGGTATAGAAACATAGGGGTGGGCACAATTAACTAGATTTATACAGTCGACTGACCTCTTTCCAGGGAGTCTGACTCACCTTTTTGTGCTCCTCTTAACTTTTAGGGGACACTGACTCTACTCTGTGACGCTAAGACAGATGGCAGTTTCCTTGTGCACCACTTTCTCTCCTTCTACCTCAAAGGTATGGGACTCATTGATGCTATAGAAAAGGGAACCTGAGGTGGGGAGGGGAGCCTGTTTCAGGAAGTGACGGGAATAGCAGTAACTAGTCGGGGTTTGGGTGTTTATTAGGTAACTACCCCATCCTGCCAAGGAGTGGCATGTGCTCACTGTACACCTGCCCCACTTTCCCCTTCTCCACCCACTGAGCCAGTTCTGCCTCTCTGTGGCCCTTTTGCAGCCTCCTGTTGACTCTCTTCTCAGTCCCCGCGTATCTTGAGTTCTCTGGGCACTCAGCCATTGACACTTTGCCCTGGCAGGAAGTGCTTCCTAAAGAGCACAGGGAAGAAAGCTGCATGGCCCCTGTAATTGATCTATGGAAATAGTTTAGAAGAAGAAACGAGCTAAACGGAAAAGAAAAAAAAAGACTCATTTATTGATTGGTTCTCCTTGAGGCCCTACTGAGCCATACTGATCACTTTAATTGTTGGGTTTTCCAGGACAGAGGGTGACCTTTGGCACTTTTAGTCACAATACTTTACAACTTTGGAAGTTATTTTCTTTTGTAGAAGATGTTATTGTCAGCAGAGAAAGAGCAAGAGAATCTACAGATAAATTATTAGAATTATGTTTAGTAAGATAGCTAGGACTTCTTTGTGTTTTCTTTGTATCCTCTTGGATATAGGACCAGTTTTAAAAATTAATTGCACTCCTATATCCTAACAACGAACAGAAAAACAGAATTTCTTTTTTTTTTTTCTATGTGGCAGTTTTTTTTTTGTTTTGTTTTTTAAATTTTATTTTAATTTATTTTTTCAAATACATTTGTCTCTGCCTACCCCCCACCACTTAAAACAGAATTTCTTAAAGACCACAATTTATTTACAATAGAGAAAAATAAAGTGCCTAGTAATACGTCTAACAGAAGTACATCTCAGTGGAAAAAAAATATAATTATCCAGTATGAAAAAATTGCTTCTTTGCCCTCACCGGTGTGGCTCAATGGGTTGGGCATGATCCCACAAAGCAAAAGGTCACCTGATCGATTCCGAGTCAGCACATGTGCCTGAGTTGCAGGCTGGTCCCCAGTTGCGGGCATGGAAGAGGCAACCAGTTGATTTTTTTCTCTCACACACCAATGTTTCTCTCCCTCTTTCTCCCTCCCTTCCCATCTCAGAATAATTAAAAATCTTTAAAACAAACAAACAAAAAATGCATCTTAGAATCAAATTGGATATACTAGGTTGCGAGATCTCTGGTCCTCAATGCTTTTGTTTCCAGAGGTATGAAATATACAAGACTGATTATAAATAGATATTATTCAAATCCATTTATTCTGTTTTCCAGCTAATTGTAAGGTCTGTTTTTTGGCGCTTGTCCAGTCCTTCAGTCACTACAATATAGTGGGACAGAAGTTGGTGAGTATTTTAGACCTCCATGCTAAGGTCCCTGAGTGAATATGTGTGTCACACATATGTCGGTGTGCTCTGAGGCCGGGCTTGCCTATCTGGGTAGTAGAGAACTTAGCAAGGGAGGGACTAAGGAAGTCGTGGGACCCTGAACCCTTTATCTGAAGGGGTTAGGTAGCATCTCCTCATGTTAATTTAGAATTTATAGAACCAGGTTTGTTGTTAATTAATCAAACCCATCTGCACCGATTCTGGACTAGTTAAGGCTTTCTCGTTCTCATTGTGGGCTTTAACTTTGGTCCTGCTGGGTAGGAGATCATAGCTTGGTCTGCCACCAAGCTGAGTGGCTCCCACCCTGTCTCCCTCAGTCTAGGGCGTAGGACCCAGATGTGGGGAGGGGCACCTTTGTCACCTTCACCTCATCTCATTAGATAAAGGCAGGCAAGAATGTGATGGCCAAGAGGCTGGTGAGACTCCTGGCCTGGCCTGGGCCACTACCTGTGACCAGGTGGACTTCCTGAGGTTTTCGTTTTTGCTTTGGTGGACCAGCCTCAGCGAGGGAGAGAACCTGGGCGCCCCTCAGCAGTGATCTATGAAATGCCAGTCTGTTTGGCCAGGTCACTGCCTCTTTGATGCAGGGAAATCAGTGAGAGGGTGAGAGAAGGGTGGACTCTCTTGAATTCTTTGCAGACAAGGAGGAAGTTCCTGTGTTAGAGGTCAGCGTGAGCTCTGTGAGGGCAGTTGTGTCAAGAACACATGTTGCATTCCCGGCCTGTGAAGCATGTCTCTCTGGGGCCTTAGCATCGGTGTTTCTGCATGAGGAAGCTGTGTGCTCTCCTGTCCAGATAGGCTGCTTTTTTTCTATTACCTTGGAATCATCCTCAACACAGGGGTGGTCTGCACAGTACTGGGTGTGCAAAGTCCTAGAGTGAGCTTCCGTACTCCACACACTTCCATACACTCTTGGTGAGATTCTGCACTTAAGTGGGTAGAATGGTAGTGAGCAGGAGCGAAGGTGATGATCAGGAGTCCCTCTGTCGGGCGGCTGTTGGAGCTGATGGTGTTGCCTCGTGGAGAGCACTAGTGGGAAGGAGAGCAAGGGAGACCTGTTCTTGAGGCACAGATAAAGCAGTGGCTGCACACACAGATTATGTCACCATCCCTGGATGTTTGCTGACATGCAGGTTCTTGGGTTCACCCCAAAAGTTCTGGTTCTGAAAGTCTGGAGCGGGGCTCAGGGATCTGCATTTTAATCAGATGTCTCAAGAGATTTTTAATTGAGTGGTTCAAGAAGAACCATATTTAAGAAGTTCTGGTTCGCCCTGGCTGGTGTGGCTCAGGGGATTGAGCACCAGCCTGTTAACTGAAAGGTCACTGGTTCGATTCCTGGTCAGGGCACATGCCTGGGTTGTGGGCTGGGTCCCTGGGTGGAGGTGTGAGAGGCAACCAACCGATGTTTTTCTCTTTCTCCCTCCCTTCCCCTTTCTCTAACAATAAATCGATAACAGTAAATAACAATAAATAAATAATTATTTATTGTTAGAGAAGGGGAAGGGAGGGAGAAAGAAAGAGAAATGTTGATGTGTGATGAGTGTGATGATGTCGATTGGTTGCCTCTTGCGCGCCCCCCACGGGGGACCCAGCCCACAACCCAGGCGTGTGTACTGACCAAGAACTGAACAGGCAACCTTTCAGTCCATAGGCCGGCGCTCAATCCACTGAGCCACACCAGCCAGGGCTAAATAAAATCTTAAAAAGTTCTGGTTAGGGCAAGGGTTGACAAACTACGGCTTGTTTCCCCTGTTTTATAAATAAAGTTGTATTGGAACACAGTTACGCCCATTTGTTTATAAATTGTCTATGGCTGCTTTCCCTCTACAACAGCAGAGCTGAGTAGTTGCAGCAGAGACTGTCATTCTCCTACCCTGTAGTTGTTTACCTACTGCTTTTAAATGTGCTTAATTTTATAAATACATGCATCGAAGTGCTGGCCAGGTAGCTCAGTCAGTTAGAGCATTGTCCTGATACACCAAGGTCATGGGTTCAATTCCTAGTCAGGGTACGTACAAGAATCAACCAATAAATGCATAAGGAAGTGGAACAATAAACTGATGTCTGTCTTTCTCTCGAAAAAAAAATATACATGTATTTAAAAAGGAAACTGTATTACTGTTGTAAATTAAAAACCTGTGCTGAGTAACCATAAAAATAAATATATAAACAAAGATGTGAGTTTTTCCTAAAAAGTGACAATTAGATGTAAATACACATCTGAAAATGGAATGAGAATTGTGGGTTGGGAATGCCCTGGGGAAAGAGGAGGGGGCCAGGTGCACATTTGCAGAGTTTGGAGTGTGTTCTGTGGCCTCTGTGAGCTGGAGCCGAGCCTCTGATGGGCTCCCCTGGAAGGGGCAGTAACTCAGTGACCCTCCTCCTTGTTGTGTGTAGGGTGTCAGCTTGACCTCGGCACAGGAGCGCGGGCAGCTCGTGTTCCTTGAGGGTCTCAAGTCATCGGTGGACATCTTCTTCCGGGCTGAAGAGGAGCCACACCCGCTGCGCTTCCTCAGGTCAGTCAGCCTGCTTCCGGCTTGGCCGTGCTCACCTGGTGGACCAGCCCAGGGTTGCTGGGCGGGTCCTTCCACTCCGCGGGTGGGAGGGCAGAGCTGGCTTCATGGTCAGACCCGTCCCTGGTGTTGCAGCATCACTGGAAAGCCCTTGGCTCTGACCAAGGGCCAGAGGGTGGACGGCTGTCCCAAAGCTGTAGGGAGCGTTATTTGCCCAGAATATGGTGGAACGGCATGCTTTGCTGGTTTCCCTGCCCTGGCTCAGAGCCCTAGCACACTTTGTTCTGTTCTTGGCTTGATACAGGGGTCGGCACACTACAGGCCAAGCACCAGCTCCCTGTTTTTGTGAAGTTTCATTGGAATGGCCACATTCATTTGTTTGCATATTGTCCGTGGCTCCTTTGTACCGTGACAGCAGAGTTGAGCTGTTGGGACAGGGAACTTATGGCCCACTAGCCTAAAACAGTGTACTTACTGGCAGCAGGTGTTGACCACTGGTTCGGTGTTCTGAGGTCGGGTTCCCTACTTCTCATCCTTCCTGAGCATCAGGCACAAACGCAGCTCTGTGCGCACTCCCCGCCTGGCTGCTGTCCTTCCTCCACCCTACGGGGGCTACAGGAACTCTCCCCCTGCGCCCTCTGCTGGGTGCAGCTCTGTGCGATGGCTGGGGCGCAGTGAGGAGCCAGAGGCCCTGTGCCCTGAGCCTGTGCCCCTGGCATCTCTGAACCTGGTGTCTTTGTCTGAGTGATGGGCCTGGTTCCACCTGGCCCCTAGCTGTGGGTGGTTGTCACCCTTGCTGTTAGGGAGACCCAGCCCTGGACTGTGGGGCAGTGGGCAAGGTGCCTGGGCCCTGTGTTCCTGGTGCTTTTTGAGCCTCTATTTCTGGGAAAAAACTACCAGAGGTGGTCGCTGGGGAGAGGGAGGTATCAGGACCAGCTTGTCCAGAAACAAGTCGACTCTGTTACACACACGAGCAGCCCTTAGACCAATGTCCCTCGCACCGGGACACCCGAATTGCTGTTCAGCTTTTTTTGCCCACTTAGGACCTCCTGGAAAGGCTTCTCCGGCCTGCCCTCTCCAAATTAACCTTCTAGGTACCTTACCCTCTTGGACTGAGAGGCTGCTCTTACGGGCCTGGGAAGCTGTTTATTTTTGTGTTCCCAGTGTGTAGGACAGTGCTTGGTGCCTGCTAGGCCTTGAGGAGTGTTTGAATTGCAGTGAAGCGCACGTGCACACACGTGCCTCTTCTGGCCAACCAGTCATGGATTCCCTGGTGCCAGGGACTGTGCTCCAGTTCTTGGATGCCCCGAGCCCTTCCCCGTGATGCTGCTCAGTCCAAGAGAAACACTTGCAGAGAGAGTGAACTCTCCGGTGACTTTCGCCCTGCGTTCCAGGGAGACCGATGCCAGCAGCCTGCAGCCACTGTTTGAGTTTGTGCGGGAGGCCCTGACGCCCATAGGCCATGGGGAAGCTGCCTGGAGGTGCCCGGTGCTGCTGGTGGACGACCTCAGCGTGCTGCTGAGCCTGGGCGCAGGGGCGGTGGCCGTGCTGGACTTCATCCACTACTGCCGAGCCACTGTGTGCTGCGCCCTGCAGGTACGGATGCGCCTGCGTGCCGTGCTCCCGCCTGGGGCTGCTCAGGGCCCGGCAGGTCCAGTCCTCACTGGCGAGCAGTGACCTTTTTTGTTTACCTGCTTGGGGTTTGAGCGATACTCTGGCAGACCCAGAAACCTTCTGGTCAGGCCACCCTGCTCTCCCCTCTTGCCATTGCTGGAAAATAACACCCTCGCCATGAAAGGGACGATGAGCGCCATCTTAAGGGCCAGCCGTGTGCGGTGCTGCGTGTTCCCAGCCCTGACGCACTGCCTGTGTTTTCGGGGGCAAGTCACCATCCCTCTGAGTGTGTTTAAAAGGTCAGCGGAGGTAATGAGATGAATAAAGTGTAGGTTGTAACCTTGATTGTCAAGTTATTAGGCAAAAATAGAGATTTGGCCATAACAGGGATTTTAGTAAGAAGGGTGGGCCAGCCTAAGTAGAAATGGCTATGGTGTCTGCCTCTCAGGAACCCACCTGCGAGAGGTCAGCGAGACGAAGCTGCTAATACCCACAGCGCCTGGCCCACCGTGGCCTCGGTGAGAGGGCAGCAGGCAGGGGCCGCAGACGTTGGCACGGTGTGGTCAGGCTGCGGGCGCAGAGCAGGGGCGGGGGGGCTGCGTTAGCCGGGTGCGTTCACCTGCAGTGCGGGCTGCGCTCCTGCTGTGTGTGAGGTGCCCCTGGACTCTGGCTGGGGAGCTCCTGCGGCTGTCCCGGCGGCAGCGCGGGCCCGGGAACCAGGTGCCCCGGCGAGCGTGGCGGGGCCTGGAGGACAGGTTCAGCGGGCGCGGGGGCGAGTGTGAAAGGGCCACGTGAGCTCAGCTTGCTCTGCGGCCCGCGACCATCCTCTTTTTGTGAAAACATTTCTTTTGGTTGAAAAGGTAAAACCTGGAGTTTTTAAAAAGAAGAGAAGAAATAAACAGCACAAAGGGTGTGTTAGCACAAAGGCATTGTGTCCCTCCCTCCAGTGTAACACTTGTCGAGAGTGCGGTTCCAAACACACCCGCGTGTGTGGTGGGCTCCTGCAGTTTTCGGCGCAGGACAGACCACCTACTGTCACATTGTGCGGTGGCGCATCTTTTCATGTCATAACACACAGTACTTTTTGGTGTCCATTACCCGTTAACAGAACACAGAGACCTCCTTCCTTCTTTTTAACAACTGGACAGTGGTCTCATGGAAGGACTTCTTATTCGTGGCATCCCCTTTTGACAGGGATGAGCTAACACTTGCAGAAAGGCCGCCCTTCTTAATAATGTTAAGGGGGACCACAGGCTGAGCTGTAGGTGACCTGAGCTGGAAGTCCAGGTTGGATGTGCTGGTGATTGGATATCCAGTAGGGGGTGGAGCCTAGGCAGGGGTCCTCCCCGCGAAGCTGGAGGGCGCAGCGGCGGTGGGGAAGCTGATCTGGAAGAGAGTGTGCAGGGCGTGGAGGTGCAGAGAGCCCAGTGCCCCCGATCCTGGTGTCCCCTCCAGTCAGGAGCAGGTTCCATCCTGTGTCTCTGCTGCAGGGAAACATAGTGGCGCTTGTGCACGACAGTGGAGATGCCGAGGATGAGGAGAATGACATCCTGTTGAATGGCCTGAGTCACCAGAGCCACCTGATCCTGCGTGCTGAGGGCCTGGCCACCGGCTTCTGCAGGGACGTGCATGGGCAGGTGCGTAGGGGTGAGGCCAGGATCCTGCTGGGGGGCGGGCTGTCTGCGTCTGCCTGAGTCTAGACCTCGCATGGGACGGTGTCCTGGGCAGTGCTGGGCTGTGGGCTTGTCTGCTTGGGAGCCCTAGCAGCTGGAAGGGAACCCTTGGGAGTTGAGGGGAACGCACGTCAGAGTCTGCTCAGAGGCTGCTCCTCCCTGTGCGCCAGTGTGGGTTTCGCACAGTGGGCCCGTGTGTGACCGCAGTGGAGGCGGCTGTCTCGAGTGGAATGTGGGGCCCACTGTGACACAGTTTCTTGGCAGGATGACAGCACACCTTGTACATTCAGGTCAACACTGTTCCTTTTAAAATTGAGGCCCAGGGCTGCCGCCGCCCGCTGCTGCCCCCCACCATGTCGGGAGCGTGCGGGCAGAGGGGCGGGTCTGCCCGGGCAGGGAGGTAAGGGCTTGTCCCTGCCAAGGGCTGCGGTGGTTCTCTGCCTCCTGAACCTTCTTTTTTGGAATTACCCCAAGGCCCCGCCCCCAGCTTTCAGGTTCACTTCACGTGGGCTGCTCTCCACCCATTCAGGGTGGGCGGGATTTGGCCCAGAGTCAGCCAGGGCCAAGAATGGAAATAAGGCCTCACAGAAATGCTGTGTGCACGTGGGCGGGGGCACAGCCGTAGCGGAGGTTCCCCAGAGCATTCTTGTCAGCTGCGATGTCCCCATGTAAACACTCGGCCTTCCTAAGCCCCTGAATCGCATGTGCAAACTCTAAGGTGTTGATTTCCAAAATTAGTGCAGCCAACAAGCACTGAACCATGTATGTAGCAGAAAGATGAAAGGAGGACACCCGAAAATTCTCCAGTGGCTTTTTCATGGTGACTTTTTTCTTCCTTTTCTGTAATGAGCATGTATCACCCCTGTAACAGATGGGAAACCTTTATTTTTAGTTAGCTGGTAATGGCTGTGTTTTGGAAGTCAGTCCCATTACTGCATGGCACGTGTGCCAGTGATCTCATGGAGGCCCAGGTGACAGTCACAGGGGAGTCAGGCAGGGTTCACAGTGGAGCGGGCAGCTGAGCGGGCGGGGGCCGCCTCTTTCATTCTCCTCCCTGTCACCGCAGCTGAGGATCCTGTGGCGGAGACCGTCGGAGCCCGCCACCAAGCGGGACCGGAGCCTCACTTACCAGTACAAGATACAGGACAAGAACGTGTCCTTTTTCGCCAAAGGAATGTCTCCCGCAGTCCTGTGACCTGACCGAGGGGCAGACAAAGCTCCCGTGGGCTGTGCCGGACGTGGAGGATGAAGCAGCCGAGCAGGGATGTGTCTTCACACCTCTGTAGCTGCATTTCAGGCTGGACTGTGACCCAGCGATGGCTGGGCAGTGCTGTGACGTGTGCCTGTGTCCCAGGCCTCGTTCAGAAAACACACAAGAAATCTGCCACCCCGCCTCTGCTGAGTGAGGCATTGGATCGGGTGAAAGGGGTCCTTTGGAGCCTTCCCTGTAAACACGCTTGAGCCCAACTGCCCATTGCTGGTGGCTGTGCCTTAGAGTTGTGCTGGGTATGAGTGGGCCAGCCAGGGCACAGTCCTGGGCGGCAGGCGTTGGAGGGGACAGGTTGGGTCATCATGGGTGGTATAAAGTGAGTTCCCACTTTGTTGCTTCCTGTGGATTGTCTCACTTAATTTTCACCTTTGTCTTGTGATGGTATTTCCTCCTCAGTCCAGTGAGGAAAGAGGCTGCGACAGGTGTGGACACGCAAGGCTGCGGGGCAGGAGCCTGGCTCTGACGTCCACGCCAGCGGGGTAGCGCTCATGGAAACGGGGGCAGGCTCCCCACCCAGTTCTCCGCTTCGCCCCCCCCGCCCCGGTGCTGTGGGGCCTGGCCACCGGAGGCCGGGTGCCCTGGTGGGGGTCACGTGGGGCCGCAGGTAGGGCTGGGTTTCTGGCCTTGGTGAGGGTGTAAGAAATGTTCTTGCCGCCAGGCAGGTTGGGGCCTTGGCGAGGAGTGGGGGCCTCCTCCCCCGTACAAACCACAGGAGGCGAGCCCTTGCCCTGCCATCTGGTAGGTGCCACCTCGCCGCACTCCGCCCCCCGGCCAGGGTCATCTCGGAGTGGGCGCCAGGTGTAGTCCTTTACTAGCAGGGGCGTCCGGCCTTTTGGTGCCTCTGGGCCACACTGGAAGAAGAAGCATTGTCTGGGCCACACAGTAAATATATTGTGACACGTAATCCCTAAAAAAAAAAAAAAAATCTCAAAAGGTTTTAAGTAAGTTTCCGATTTTGTGTTGGGCCACGTTCACAGCCATCCTGGGCTGCTTGGGGCCCACAGGCCACAGGTTGGACACCCCTGCCTTAAAGTCTGTGTAAGTTATATCACAGTGGATTTGATTTTTTAAATAAATAAAATGAAAAAAACACTGCTTTGTGGTGATGAGGGAAGTTTCCCTTGGTTTTTAACTTCTTACATTCTTAGTCTTTGTAAAAGGACGGTTGTCACCTCCCCTCGGGTCACACTGTCGCATTGACTTTCCCACTGAAACAGCAGCCGCTTTCCTCCTCCAAACAGCGTGGGCCTAGTAGAATATTTGAAAATTATGAGGGTAAGTAACTTAAAAGAAAGTAGTTACTACTTTCTAATCTAATGATCCTTTTATTACTACTTCAGCGTTTATAGAAGCTTCACACGCGCTATAGCTCTGACTGGACAAGGCACCTCAAAGCGTTGCCCCTGGCATGGATGTTGCTACTACGTTTCTTTCCTTCATCTATAAGTGTGGCTAAGTTTTTAATGTTTAATGGCTACTCGACATTTATGGTGTCATTCTAATTTGCTTAGCGATTCTCTGGGCATAGAGGCTCTGGTTCTATAATTATAAAGGATGCCGTTACGAATTCCATACGCTGCACCTCCATACAGCTTGGGCGTGGGGGCAAGTACTCGCTTCCTGGGAACCTTTGCTCACTCCTCCAGCCCTCAGCGCCTTTTGTGGTGGGAGGCTCGAGGCCCCGAGGGCAGGGTGGTGACTGGAACGGGCCTGCCCTCCTGGAGGGGACGTTCCTGCGGAGGGGACGGAGACCACAGAGCTGAAAAGTAATGTGTCGAGTTAACACCAGGAAAAGTGCTGTAAATAAAACAGGGAGCCCTGGCTGGTGTGGCTCAATGGACTGAGCGCTGGCCTACGACCCAAAGGGTCGCCGATTCACTTCCCAGTCAGGCACATGCCTGGGTTACGGGGCAGGCCCCCGGTTGCGGGTGTGTGAGTGGTAACCGGTCAGTGTTTCTCTCCCTCTCTCCTTCCCTTCCCCTCTCTCTAAAAAATAAACAAATCTTTTAAAAAAATTAATGAAGCAGGGAGGAGCCCTGATCCATGACCAATGAGGAACGATGAGTTCAGAGCTTGCTCCCTGAAGTGGGGCCCTCGAGGTCGCCTGTGGGCGGCCCCCACCTGCTGGCAGGTGCTCTTCAGAATGATGGAGCCGGTGAACAGTGAGTGGAAGGTCTTCCTCTGCCAACACTGGGTTTTCATGAATTTTGTAGTAGTGCAATATTCTGTGGAAACGGACGGTTAGTGAGCAGGATGTAACTTTGTTTTCCCGTGTGTACAGAATCTGTTCCGCGTGCTCACTTGCTTACCAGTTAGACTGGTGTCAAATTTACTAATTCCTGGCAATAGTTCAGAAAGTAAGATGTAATTATTGTCTTTGTTCATGTATATTTTTCTGCAATCTAGTTCTTTTTTTTAACATTTTTATTTTTGTTAAATTTATAAATCATGTTTATTCTATTACAGTTGTCTCAAATTTTACCCCTTTACCCCCCTCACCCCTCCCACCTTCACCCCCCGCTCCCACAGTCAGTTCCCACTCTGTTGTCCATGTCCGTGGGCCATTCATACATGTTCTTTGTTTAGTCCCTTCCCCTTCTTTCCACCATTGTCCTCCTTCCCCATCCCCTCTGCTCACTTTCAGTCTGCTCCATGTTTCCGTGCCTGTGGTTTATTTTGTTCGTTAGTTTATTTTGTTGAATAGAGTCCACTTATAGGTGAGATCATATGGTGTTTGTCTTTCATCAACTGGCTTATTTCACTTAGTTTAATATTCTCCAGTTCCATTCATGTTATCGCAAAAGGTAGGAGTTCCATCTCTCTCTCTCTCTAATTCTTTTTCTTTCTTTCTTAAATGCAGATTGATTTTATTTATTTTTTAAATGTCAAAGTTAATTATAACATATTAAAAAGATTAAAACCATTGTAAAGTCTCAGCAATTAAACCAACGTGACACCAGCACAGAAATAATCAATTAGATCAATGAAATATAATGAGCATTCTAGAGACAAATGTATATGTCTCTCTAACAATATAGGATTAAGTTGATATTTTAAATCAGTGGGTAAAATAAGGCTTATTCAACATATAAGGTGCATGGACCACTACTACTTGAAACATACATACAGCCCTGTTTCACACATTATACAAGAAATATTCAGGTGAGTTTAAAATCAATATGTAGAATCTAAAGAGTTTTAGGTTACAAAACTAATATTTTTCATAACCTGAAGTAGAATATTCAACCCCAGAAGCTATAAAGTAAATATTGACAATATGACTTATTAAACATTTAAGCCTATATAGTAATATACATATAAAAAAAAGTTAAAGGACAAGGAATAGAATAGGAAAGTATTTGCCACACACCTAAAACACGGTTAATAGGTTTTTTTGTTTGTAGTCTGGTTCTTTAAAACTATTTTATCTTCAACTTTTTTTAAAAATAAGGACTAGTTAAATATTTGTAGAACACCTGTCTTATAGAAGGGGTTGTAAAGGTGGGGGCGTTCCTGAAGGTGGCCGCGGCCATTGAGCAGGGAGAGAGAGCAGGGGCTCAAGGTGTGGAAGTGCGTGGGGAAGGGGCGAGGCACCCAAACAGTTCAAGTCACGGGAGGTCCCTAGGCTGATGGTCACAGGACAGAGCAATTATTGCCCCATTTCCTTTTTTTTTTTTTTGAGCTGAAGGACCAAACTGGGGAAACAATACTATTGGAGCAAGACCTTGGAATGTTTCTGTTTGTCTCTGATGGTAGTGTCGTACTTCAGGATTCAGAAATGTCTTTTTCTTCCATACTGGGATGACGGGGCTGTTCTTTGTTGTTTTTTTCCAGTTTAAAATAATTTTTTAAATATGCCTTCAATTTTGACTCATCTAGAATTTGTTGCAGTGTGGTACTTTGTCTCCATGCTGATAACTGAGTAGCCCAGCAGTTCTTGCTGAAAAGTAATATTCCTTGCTCCTTATATAGCTCTGATGTATTTATATGTAAGGTGAAAATTGAGCCTCTCTGAAATCTGTCTCTATAGGTGTTGAAAGGTTAGTGCATGTCTGCCCTGAGGGGCCTCTTTAAAAAGGGACTGTGCCCACTTATCCAGAAGAATTTCACCTGCACTTTATCAAGATCTAGAAAGTATTTTCCAGGGACTTTTTCTCTCATTTTTTACAACTATAGTTGTGTGATTTTATTAAAACTAATGGAGACGTTAATACCCTCTCAAATGCTTTTTATCATTGGAAAAGGACTTACCTGGTTTTGGTTTTTGTTTTGTTTAATGGTGCCTTTGACATAGGAATGCAGTCGACTTTTAAAGGATTATGACACCCTATAGATTTCTAAACATTTCTCCTAATAGTATTCTGATTGAGATTCTTCAGGTTTTTTAAAGATTTTTTTCCCTTTTTAAAGATATTGTTAACATCTGCGAATAACGATATCAACCTTCTTATTTTTCCCTTGAAAAAGGTATTTGTTGTCTAATTTCTGTTTCTAAGGGAATAGGAAGCATTTTGTATAATAATTCTTAATTTTAAAATACATATTATCAACTCAGTTTTAAAAAATAAGCTTGAAGAAGGAAAGGAGAAAGCAACGTTCCTCCTCAGTCTCTTGCCCCCCTGTTCAGAGCGCCCCAGCCGTCAGTCAGTTCTGCAGACGTTCAGCTTCCGTGCAGTCCCGGCACTTCCCTCTTTGTTGTTTGAGCCTTGAATTCCCCTTATGGCCTTGTCTTACTAGTATTTGTCATATTTTCCATAACTGTTTATGTTAGGCTTGTTAAGATTTTAAAATGAATATTACTGAGATCTATTTATTATAGTAACATACCACCTATATTTGTGAGCAAAGATGACTAATTTTTTTTTATCTGTGTTAGCCTAGTCAGGTTTGAGCATTAAGAATAACACATGCCACATAAGCATCACTGAGGAACTTGCTGCATTTTATATGCTTTGAAAGTCTTGGTGCTTTTTATTCCCGTTAGGACTTACATTGGTCAAGGTCAGGTAACTTTTGGGGATTTTGTCTTTGTTGCTGGTCTTTTATTGTTACTATTATTGATTGGAGAGAGAGACAGGAAGTGGGGTGGAGGGGGAGAGAACAATTCCTCGTTCCCCGTATTTGTGCATTCATTGGTTGGTTCTTGGAACCTTGGCGTATCTGGGTGACGCTCCTACTAACTGGGCTACCTGGCTGGGGCCTGTATTTATTTATGGCTTTCTTTGTTTTAGAACTATTTATTTCTGAAATATTTCTCTTTTTTTATTTGTTTTGTTCTGAAAAAGCATTTAGAAATCATATGTATAGTAAGAGACTGTATCCAGACTATGAAAAGAACCCCTGCAATTCAATAAGACAGTCCTGTCAAAAAATGCACAGATGTTTGGAATAGGCATCTCACCAAAGCAGATGTAGGAGTGGCCAACACGCATGTAAGAAGATCTTAAGGCGATCTTAACGTCATGAGCCATTAGGGAGATAAAATTGCAACACAGTTTA